GTCTGCCCTCCGTCATATTCATATCTCACGATATTTCATGAGGAAAGCTGACGACACGTAGAGGTGGTACGAAAAATACGGCGGTTTTCAAAAATACCCAACCCCATTTATGAAATATGAGCAAAAATTTCGCGCTTTTCATCTCTTGTCGTACATTTGAAGAGATCAAAATCCATTAAAAAATGATTTGTTTGATTTATTGCTTGATATTTTAATAAAAACCTGTTTTTTAAAATGAACAAATCAAATATTTTCCTTTTTAGACGTGATGCGACGCAAATTGTATAATACCGGCACTGCAATAATATACATGGCGCACATTGAAGATATATGTCATGGCTGCTACTGTTTGGTGCTATGTTTCGAACTTGCATGTTGGACACTTCGTTTGCAGCATTTCCTTGTCTTCCTGCTCCTCCTCGTTGTCATTGAAAGTTTGTTCTGCTTGGTGGTGGAGGGAGATCATGTGGGTTCTGCCTTCTTCTTTTGCAGCTGGTGGCTGACTGCAAGAAGTACCCGGTACTGTAGTTAATACTACCGGTAGAAGACAGTTGCAACACTTTTGGACTTTTTGAATTAGCTCCTTTTCGATTACTCTGTTGCTTCTTGTCAAACCCACGAATGACAACAACGATAGCCTTTTCTACTAATATACTCTTTTTTCTTATCGGAACTATAATAATTTCAATACTACAGTAATAACGTACCGGTAGCCAATCATCTTCGCGTTTTCAGTCGTGACGGCGCTTTAGGCGGAGGACAGACGGGTGATAGAAACACACACATCACGGAAGAATATTATACAAAAGATATCGTCCATATGTTTCGCTCTCCCATAATATAATTGCAATAATTCTCAATTCCCGATCGATCGATTATTTTGCGATCCTCATCGTCATCGTCATCGCCATCGTCATCGTCATCGTCAGAAACAGTTGTATTAATACCAGGGTACTGTACTCTCTTGAATTAAGCAACACACTAATACACGTACCGGTACACCACCACGACCACCATCACTTGAAATCTATAGGAGAAACAAGATGAAACGTTCCTACAACAGTCCTGCTTTCACGTCAGCGTTTGCTCATCACCGTCATCATCGAGCATCATCAACGACGGCAACAGCAGCAGCTTTCTCTTCTGCGGCGTCGTCCCGATTCTCTTTGCCTCGGCAAGGAGGTCGTACTGCCGAACAAAGGCATGGGCGATATCAAGGACCATATCAAGGACCATTGCGAACGCCCACTACCAGTAGGGGCAATACGGCGCTTGGCATGATGATGATGTGGGATTCGTCGTCATCTGGACTTGTTTCCAGCATGTATTCGACAGTCGCCCCTGCAGCGGCGGCGGCAGCATCAGCAGCATCAGCAGCAGCATCTTCCACAGCCAACCCAACAGCAACCACATTGGCCACCGCCGCCACCAACAATGGCGCTTCCACCACCATGGTTGCTGGTGTGCTCGACTCGTTTCAATCAGTGGTGGTGAGTCCTGGCGGCATTGCAACTTCTGTGGTCGGATTGGTCTCCCTGATTGTCTACTTGAAATATCAAGGCGCCATTCGACGACGTCTCAAGCAGATCAATCAAGAATCGTGGCTGTTTGGAGCTGGCGTGACCATGGTCCGTGGAGAACCGAACCAAGGTACCAATCTCTTTCCCAATCTGCAACTGCTACAAATTAATCCATCCTTTCAAGAGGCTCATCCCGACTGGAAGCTTGTGGGTTTGGGTGATTACCTTGCGACTCTCCGTCCCAAACAGCTTCCCAAGGGATTCACTGCCAAACAAATACCCAAGCTGTTGCAACGCGAATTGGAGGCTGGTCTTGCTTCTGGATTGCTAAAAGCGTTGGGTCCGAATTTGGGCCGTGCCCTCTTGCCGGCAGTTGGGGTCGGTCCGATTCAAGGACAGGCACAGAAATTGGGATCCAAATTGGCCACGCGATGGATCATGTCCAAACAAGCTGCCTCCAATACCCTGGGAGACGACGAAGATCGAGCCGGACTTCCCATTTCAATGTTGAGTGTCTTATCATTGTCGGAAATCAATGCCAAACTCAACAGTGGTACCAAGACTACCACCAACAGCAACAAGGGCGCAGAGGAGGAAACCAACGACGAGAACGACGCTCCATCATCGTTGGATGACAAGTTACCAGGATCCAACTTGTCTGCCATGCAAAAAATGAAAAATGGTGAAAATGTCAATGGTCCCGCCTTTGATACTGACATTCTTCCAAACTCTGGCTTTGTCCTAGATCAAGACTTTCATAGCACCATTCGGAATATGGAAAAGACGATGGTAGATCAAGGACATTGTGCGGATCATTCCCCGACTGAACTACAGACGGCGCAAGCTGAACTCGAAGAAGACAACAAGTACGAGATGGATGCCAAAACGACCAAGGATTCTAATGATGACACCAAGAACAAGGCGTATGATCCAAACGATCGTAGCATGGGAGAACCAGTTCCCATCAACCCGCGTCTCTTTCCCGGTTTGCATTTGGGGCATGGTGACGCTCTCTGTTCACATACCAAACGACAAGCCTTGCAGATGCGATTGGTTGCCGTCTTGTTGAATCGATTGGCCGCCAACTATCATCGATTGGCCAATCCGGATGACGCCAACAATGAGCCTCTACTCTTTACGATGCAATTGAGCAAGGACGGGCCCGTGATATCCAAGCCGACTGAACTAGTGCAAGGCTTGATCGATATGGGACAAGAGATTACAGTTGTATCGACATCTCGTATTACGTCCTTTGGATTGGGTATGTGTCTCAAGGAATCGGACGGCTCGTGGTCCAACATTCCACTCGGAGTCTTTCTAGAAAGCGGATACGAAGATAGGGATGGCAACATGGCACCAGTCATGATGCCACATTCGGGATTGCGTCTTATCATTGGTGACGGACCCCTCACTAGGAATCAAGAGCAAGAATATGACGATTACGATCGAAGTGCCGTCTCCAACCCTTTGATTGTTCAACACTTCATTGGTATTGAAGGATTCTGTGGGTGGAAATCGGATCAGAATGCAGAGGTTCCCTATAATGAAAACGTAGAGTCGGGCCGACCCCTAAAGGATGCTTCTGAGATTATTCGAGCAGTGCGACTATCGGCGTTATATGCCAACGTTTTGAATGGTTTGGCAACCGAACTCGCACTTCCGTTTGGAGGATATGGGGTCACTGCGGTGTGTAACGATTCGGCAGCCATCATCCAGCAATGCATCTACGGCGAGTCCTATATTTTCCCACTGACTTCGATTGGCCGATACATGCAACGGACCTTGAGATACAGTCAAAGCATGGATCGCAAACTACAGTCGGTCCCTGACATGGAAGCCGAGTTAGAAGATCTGGATGCCCTCATGGAAGGAATGATGGCACTGCCATCAGACATCAACTCTACACCAGCCAATGCAGCAGATGCTGCTCGCCGTCTTCTCAAGACCTTGCAACCACAACTCCCACTGACGCTCTTGAAAGACTCAAAGAATGTTATGGAGGATGTTTTGCAAGAGCACAAAGAACACAAAAGCCAAGCCAACAGGCAAGCCAACAGGCAAGCCAACGAGGAAAGTGTCATTACGACACCTCATCTATGAAATATATGTGAAAATCGTTAAAATAAATTTTGAACGAATTACTGTATTTTATTAGTAGGCTCGCAGTTTGACCAGTACATAGTACTGTACTGGATTTGAAGCAGAGCTTTTCATGTGTTCTGAATTCATTTTGGCCACTGCGCTATTATACATACATGCTTTATCTATCGACCAAATCAATCTAGAAATGTTGTAGACATACGGGAAGAATCCCCAATTGCAGCTCTGGCCGTATTCTACATATATACATACGCATGGAGCTTATATTGAAAAAAATATCTAGTTGAATCTTCTCTTTTTCAGGACCGTGTGGCAAAAACGTGTATTTCGAGATTCTCCGATCATCGAAATTTCGTGTTTCCGCGCGGAAAAGTCGAACGTTATAACATGACCCGTTTGTCCGGACGGACACCCGAAAAAAAAGGGAACTTTTGTGAAACAATATTCCCTCAAAAGACAAATTATACAAATAAAAGAGAAATTGCACTATTAGATGACGCTATTCAAAGGACGGCCATTCTCAATATCGTATTGAATCAAAACGAGAAATTCAGTGTAAACGACTTCATGCTTGTCCATAGTACAACGAAAACGAGTTCCAATAGTGTCAAAACGTTTCAATCTCTCGTTGAAGTTCTCCTGCCGCCGAGTTCTTGCCCAAATCTTGAACTCGAGAACTTTGGGGCTCTTGAATAATAGATGTGACCATCCAGTGAACGAAGACAAAGACCTTGTTCTAAACAAGACTTTTTGGCCGAATGTACGCCTTTGCCCATCTGCTAGTAGACATGGTTTGGGTCCATGTTTTCGGTGATGTCTCTCCAGCACTGTCCTTGATAGGTTTCTTGTGCTCTTTTTTCGCATCGCTGGTTCTCTAATCCTTCAACTACTATTGTCAAGCATTATCAGTCGCTCCAGTATTCATTGTAGGCTATCGACAGTGAAGAGTGCCCTTGTTGATAGAATTGGATTGTCCAAAACCGATGCCATGGCATAACAATAATTCACAATTTGAAAAGTAACAAGGGGAAAGCAGGGATAGCATTTGGGGAGTCTCAATTAATTCCCAAAAGTTCCGTAAAAAATTCTCTCAAGAGGTTACCTAAAAGTTTTCTAAAAGTTCCCTGAAAGTTTTCTAAAAGTTCCCTGAAAGTTCCCTAAAAGTTCCCTTTTTTCCCCGGGATTTCCAGGATATCCCCGTGTGAAAACAGTTTTTAGTTTTACCGCGTCATCAGTAATTAGCGCGCGTTTCACATCCTATAGTCGGGTTTGGCGGTTTCGGTTTCTCTAAATGCCCGGATTTGCCACACGGTCCTGGGGATTGATACGAAGAAACGATGATGGGAAGCAAGAAGTATCGCCGCTTTCTCTGTCATAGCTTGAATAAACCTTGGTTCATCCCACGCTACACCAAGGATAAATCAGTGCAAAAGGTTCTTCCCGCCAAGGAATTTACGAGATCTTTCTCTCGATGCAAAAGGCATAAGTCGGCCGATTGCTGACTATCCGCACAAGCAACCCCTTCGAACTCGTTCCTCACTATATGACGACATAATTCAGCGAACAATCAATATCTACTATCAAGTTTGCAATGGCAAAAACCTGAATAAACCTTGGTTTCTCAAACAAAACGTCAAAGATCAAACTGTGGCACAGGTCGGCGACCTGCTATCGCTTGTTCACACAGAAGAAAAATTGCTATGTCGGAGACGAGACCTCGCTCTTTACGCCAAAGGTACGACGGTCGCTGAATATCCAAACCAGCGAGCTCTTGAGATTGACACTTCTCTAGATGACGAGCGAATTCAGGGAACTTCCACGGCAGAGCCACTGCTTGTGGTTGTACTACACCATACGATACTTGCAATAATGCTTTGCACAAATACTGGAAGTACAAATTTTGGTATTCCAATATTCGTTTTACCATCCAACAAGCCCACGGTTCCCGATCAAAGGGCAGTGCCCAGTGAGGCTGCCCTTGTCCACCCACAACAACCGCTCATCAGCTGTACTATCAATATCTACTTCTCGATTCGTGATCCACAAAAGGATCCACTGTCGCTCAGGTTCCCATTTCCTATGTCGCCCAATAGCAAAATCCAACTTTTTGACCTCTTCATTCATTTGCGATACACGAACTTTTGAAGGTGAGGACAACTGTAGAAAAATGGTCAGTCCTTCATTGCCAACGTCCAAGGTGACATAACCATCGATGATGGGTGTGCCTGTGTGCGATTGATGCACATTCTCCCAATCAAATACATTGACATCGATTACATTTGATGCAATACCACTGCCACCAGCTTTTGGTATGCATTGTGCTGCGTCAACCATGTATTCGGTTGCAGTAAATTTTGACGGTAGGCGCAGGGGTTGCGACAAGTATGAATTATTTGTCGGTTGCACGTTGCGAAGAAAGGTAGCTACCCAGAGCGATCATTCCAAGTGCACTCTCCTCCTGAATCATCGCTGCCAGTACAGCGGCCAAGTAGAGCAAGCGGACCCTTTCAAAACTCTGCCATGTCCATTTGTCTGTCCTTGATAGCGTTTTGTTTGTGTAGTGGAGGCCCTCTAAGAGCTCCTGGGGACTACTAGTTTTCGATCAAAGAATTCTCTAGCCTCTTGAAAAGGTTCTACTGTAGGTGCAAAGGAGCTTTTTGAAATTTTTGGTTTGTCACCAGAATTCCAAACTCCGGCCAAATATTGGGCACCAGCCGATGATTGATTCATTCGTGCGGATCGGGGTCTTGTATCGTTTATATAAAAATTTATATTCTAGTCTTGCCGAATTTTAGTTTTTGGTTCAGCATCTCATCAATATATATTCTAGTATAGCTTCCGAGACGACAGTACTGTATATACCGCAGTGCCTTCTTTTCATTTTACAACAGCAATCATTGTCAACGTTGGCAACAGCATCTCGCTTCCAAATATGGATTTCTTTCGAAAACGAAGAGGTCCAACGGAAGCAAATAAGGCTCCTGCTGCCGCTGAGGATGACAATAATAATAATAGTAATAATGACGGTAAAAACGATTTCAATAGCAATAAGAAGCCTGAAACCACCGTGGAATCGTCGTTGACGGGGATCAACGCTGGAAGGAAGAAGAAAAAGAAAAAGAAGAAACCGAAAAAAGAAGAGTCTGGAGAAGACGAAACATACGAGACTGGTCGACCTACCGTTGGCGAATCTCAGGAATTTAAAATCATCGAAACTCCAAAGCTTCAGGAGGATACCCAAGTTGAAGACCTTCAGCAATCACAGCAGGGCAAAAAAGGAAAGGATCTTGGAGAGCTTGAATCAAAAATCCAAGAGTTGAAGACTGCTTTGGAGGAAAAGGAATCTGAACAAAGGGAGCAAAGGGAGCAACAGGAAAGACTCAAGAGCGAAAATGCCAATCTCCAATCTATGGTAAACAAAGCTTTACAAAGTCTGACATCCTTTGAGACCCGCTCAAAGGAGCAAGAAGCAGAGATGCAAACCTTTATGCAATCAAAAGTTGAAGTCATGGAGATGATGGAAGAAAAGTTGATTTTGGAAAGTACGAAGGTCGAAGGATTCATGGCAGAAAAGAAAGCGGAAATTGAAAACTTGAAAGAAACAGTATCCTTGCGAGAAGAAACCTTGAAAGGGTTACAGGGTGAACTGGAAGCAGAAAAGGAGCTAACTTTCAAAGTTTTAGAAGAAAGGAACCAGGCCACGGCGACCCTGGAAGAAAAGCTGTCCATCATCGACGAGCTTCAATCCAATCTGGAAGCGGAGCAAGAAATGCAACAAACATACGAAATGGAAATTACCAACTTGGAAAGTTTGTATGGTGATGAAAAGGATAATGGCGAAACTCTAAGGACGCAGCTCGAGGATATGAAGGTGCTCGAAACGCATGTGAGGGATTTGAAGAAGGATCTTGCGGTTGAGAGAGAACAGCTTGCGCAGTTGCAGGAAGAATATAAACAGTTGAAGGAATCGGAAGCCAGTCTTCAAGGGCAGCTTGCGACTCTGGAGCAAGAGATATTGTCCGAGAAGGAAAAGAGCCGTCAAATGCAACAGGAAAAGGAGGAATCCGAAAGTCGCCTGAATGTTCAGATGGCTAGAATGGAAGAAGCACTTTCAAAGCTACAGCTTCAAGAAATTGATTTGAAGAATCAAATATCGGCAATGGAGGAAGAAATCAGACAAGGCGCACTACTGAGAGAGCAAGAACGTATACAAGCAAACGCAGCACATTTGGAAGAGCAGGAGAAAATGCTGAGGCAAATTCAAGATCTGGAACAGACATTGGAATTGGGAACGGAAAATGTTGCAAAGCTCCAGAAAGAACAAGAGAACAGCCATGATACCATTTCCAGAAATATCATTATTAATCAAGAAAAGGACGCGGAAGTAAGGGAGCTCAAGTCCAAGCTGGCATTGAAGGAGGAAGAGCTGCAAAATATTGTGGGACAATCGTTGGCTGACGCAAAGACTCTTGATGATTTGAATGCAGAATTATTGATCAAGGATAGTAAGATCCAATCGCTTGTTGCAACCGTCGAGAGTGTGAAGGGAGAGTGCTCAAAACAGGCAAGTCATGCTGAGTCATTGGAGAAGGACCTGATTGCTTTGCAAAAGGAACTGTCAGAAAATAGCAGCGATTTGAAATCAGTTGCACTTAAGGATGCTCAAATTCAAGACTTGGAATTGAAGATTGAATCACAGAGTGGGCTTATCACAGAGAAGGAGCGATTGATTGCGGAAATGGGAAAGTCAATACAAGCGGATGTGAAGCGAGCAGCCAAGCTTCACGAGCAGCTTCCTCGTTTGCTGGAGTTGATGCAAAGTGAAGAAGCTAGGAATGCGTCATTGACAGAACAATTGAAAGATAAGGATCATGAAATTGCTGCGGCTCACGGAAAGGTCAATGAATTGGAGAGTAGTACGGCAATGATGAAATCGTTGATTGCTTCGAAGCAGATGAAGATTGATGACCTTGAAGACACACTTTCTGCGAGGCTGAAGCATGAAAGGCAGGTAATTTTGGACGCGAAACGGGGAGAAAGAGGTGGTCTCAAAACATTGTTCAACTCCAGTTAGCATCAAATTCCTGCCACTTCCGCTGCAATTGTTGGCACCATATCTTATTTTATACTGTGCGGTCGTATAACAGTAAATTTGAAACTGTACGCAGTATTAAAAACGATGCAACAATAATAAGGAATTTAATCTATTGTACTCATATAAGTGTACGGGGTAGGGGCTGCAAAGTGGGGGAAACAATTTGCGACATGTAACGTGCTGGGAACGGCCCGGAAAATCAATATTTACTCCGAAGAATTGTACACTAAATTTCTATTTCCTTGCCGTCCCTGTAAAGGCTAGAAAAACAGACCAAAAAAAGACGGAATCTAAATAGAAAATATGTAAAACAGAAAAACCTCTCTTTTTTACCCGAATGGTGCTCAAGTAAACTACAGCGACGACACGAGGACAAGTGCACTGATCATCGGTTTCAGGCTTCAAATAGTACATCTGAAGTTACTGTGATTACCCACTTGGATTTTTTGATTGAGTTCTTGCATTCTGTTCCTAACCTCCGGTCATGACTGAATACTTTGCAAAGATGAAGGCTGCTAAGCAGTTGCCTGTTCGCGTGGTGACTGTGGCAGCGGATGACAGCTCTGTTATGTTGTTGGGGGGGGGATGCGAGGAACGTTGGACTGTCTGTGAATACTAGGGCATCGCTCAGGGAGGATTACGAAGGTACGAGACAATGTGGTTGGTGGGGTGGGCACCTTGGCTCACAACCAAGGAAACTAAGGCAGATTGGACAAGCAAGATCATTGACTTGAGGTCCTCGAACGCTATTGAGACTGGCTCTATTGAGGGATTGGGGAAGCTCAAAGTGGAAGAGGACGATAATTTGATCTTGAGAAACTCGTTCACTCCAGTAAAAAGGGAGAAGTCGGTGACTGGAAGTGAATCCTCCTACAAATTTGTCGGAGAAAAGGGAGTCGATCTTGCGGCTCCGGACTTTTCAAAAGAAACTCCGACAATGTCTGCACTTAAGAAGAATGACACTTCCATGGCATCGGACAATGGTTTGTACAGGTCAGCCTTGCTCAAGATCAAGTTGGACCTTGACGAATTGAACAAGTTTGTCAACTCCAGCGATACCAGGACTCTGAACCGGCTCATCAACACCATCTTGAAGGTAAATGCTTTGACTCTGGCTGCAAACACATTTGGCAGACGGATTGGTGAAGGTTCTGAGTTTGAAAACATTGCGGGGTATTCTACTATTTGCAATGGTTTGCTGGGACTTTATCGGGACCATAAATCAAGTGTTGAAGAAATGACGTCCAATTTCCAGGCGTCAATCGATCTGGTGGAACACGGGAGTCAGCATGCTTTGGCGGTTGTGGATACAAAGGTAAATATTATGGGGACTGCAGTGCAAGGTGACACGGCGGTAACTTGGAAACGAGGAACACTCTTGAGGTATCTATGGGTTCCCTCTGTAATGACATTCTTCCGGAAATAGTAGGAATGCAGCAAGAGTTTTACGAAGATTTTGGAAAGCGGCAGCAATAAACCTGGGTGGGTCCAGCGCCCTTCGAACGGAATCAATATGTTGAGCTCTCTCTCCAACACTGGATCAGTGGATCCACGAGGCGTTTTGATTGGAGGCTCCCAGGCACAGTTTGAAGTCATGGCCGCGAGACTTGACAAACTGGAAAGGGAGAACGCATCCTTGAAGGAAAAAGGTGGGTAAGATGGAAGTGAAATTCCAAAGCAAGCCCAAAAAATTTAACGCTCCCTCTATGATGGCACTGGAACAGCAACTCCAAATGAGATTGGCCATTGTGGAAATTAAGGACCTGGAGCAGATCACTGTGGGAGGTCATGCGTTTGGTGGAGTTCGATTGTGTGGTCTTCTTGGAGACTAAGATGGTATTCACTGGAGGTTCTTTGGCCACAACGTGGTCTCAATGATGAACCCGGTTGGGAACAAAAGTAAAAGTTTGGCGCATGATGACATTCTGGTCAGAGACAATCTTGCCATCAAAGGAGGCTTTGACAACAAACGGCGAACCTGTACATGTCCATGCAGAAGCCGTTACCCAGACCATTTAGTGGACTGGGGCAACACCCTCTGCCAGCTCTCAGCACGTTCGATAAGTGGGACAAGCAACACAGAATTCACAGGATCCGGTACACTATTGATCTTGGGTGGAACAAGAGGTGAATCAATCTATAGGCTGGATTAGATCAGAGCTGATGCTTCATCCCAAAGCTATGATGGTTTTCACAAATCTGGTGTATGCTGCCCAATCTCACTGGAACAAAATTGCGACGTTTCTCACCGAGCTACGGCAGATATGCAAGCAACAAAGCGATGATGACAATCAAGCTTGGGTCTACCTGTGCGAAGTTGTCAAAGGTCTGTTCACCAAATTGCATCGGGTTCAGAGTGCAGGAGCAGTGAGAACGAATCTGGGCAAGCTCACAGTGGAAGATGCGGGTAGGATGATATGGAGTGTGTTGCGGTGCCACCGCCTGATGGACGATTTCATCAGCCAGGGACTTTGGATCGTGATGATCAAAGAAACAGTTATGTATGGATGAATGGTTGGAGTTGCTATGACAAGTGGTGGAGGTCAAGGTACGAGGATGATTGGGAGGAAGCTGAGGCAGCCTGGGACTCCCTGGGCAGGTTGGCAAACACCACCTGGTGGGAGCAGAAGGACGGGTCAAGGTGCCTCCACTGGAAGTGGCCCAGCTTCTATCAGAGCACCATCAGAGATGGGATTGAAGGGTGGTTCAAGTACACCCCCGGAGCCTGGACAAAACCTCAACTAGCAGGGAAAAGTGTGGAGTCCCATGGACTAATGAAGGCCAAGCTTCAGCTAGTGCAAGACAAGAGGTACATTACAAAAGGATACATAAAATCCTTGACGTCTTTCTTTGGTGTAGAGAAAGGTTTACATGATATTCAAATGGTATACGACGGCACCAAGTCCGGATTGAACGATGCTCTCTGGGTGCCAAGTTTTTGGTTACCAACCATCAATACAATGCTTTGGGCAAGTCACCTATGACACGGTGATGAGCGACTTTGTCATTGGAGATTGTTTTCTCAACTTTGTGTTGCATGAGACGCTTCAAGCGCTATGTGGAGTGGACCTTACCAGATACTTTGGTGACGGAGAGCTCCTCTAGGAGCGGTGGGTTCGGGTGGCAATGGGTTTGAAGAGCTCGCCTCATCAGGCTGTACAAGCCATCATGGTAGCGAAAGAGATGGCTTTGGGTGACAGAAAGGATCCCACAAATGCGTTCAGGTGGGACAAAGTCAAGATGAATCTCCCAGGGTCTAGCACCTACGACGCAGGTCTGCCTTGGGTGTTCAAAATCCGCTGGTCAGACAGGAAGATTGCGGCGGATCTTCTCATCTATGTGGATGACGGACGAGTTACGGCACCAAACAAACTTGAGTGTAAGCGGGCCACCCGGAAGGCGGCAAGTCGATTGAATGAACTAGGTATACAAGAAGCTGCAAGAAAGCGAAGGTGGGGGTCTTGGAAGCCTTGGGCTTGGGCTGGGTTGTTGGTGAAAACGACCCATGATTCTGTGAACGTGTTTGTATCGCAGGAAAGGTGGGACAAAACTAAGGCTCAAGTCAGAGATATGGTGGAAGAGTTGGACACCTCGGTTTCAGGAACTTTGAAACACAAACCGCTTGAGCGGAAGCGCGGGTTTCTGATTTATGTGATATGAACTTACCCCATGATGGTCCCTTACTTGAAGGGAATTCGCTTATTTGTAGATGGGTGGAGGCCAGGGCGAGACAAGGAAGGATGGAAGTTGATGGGCTACAGAGGAGCTACCCCGGCTCCAACTTACAAAGACACCCCAGAATATGTCAAAACCGTACCCCGACTTAAGGATGACTTAGCTGCGTTGACGTTGCTCACCACATCAGATTCTCCCCCTTTTCGAAGGGTGCGGAGCAATCGTGTGGTGACGGTGTACTATGGATTTGGAGATGCGTCAGCAATTGGCTTCTGCAGCACCTTTCAAAAGTTTTCAAAACAGGGTGATACATTTACTGCGGGGGACAAGATTCATTATTGATATGGCCATTGGTGCTCGGCAAACAGTGAGGAGTTGTCTAACTATAGGGAGCTGTTGAATTTGGTGGAGGCGTTGGAAATGCAAGTGAGAAGCGGGGAGTTGTATGGGATGAAAATTTTTCTGTTCACTGACAACTCGACTGCCGGAAATGTGTTCTACAATGGCAACTCATCTTCGAAGCGACTTTTCAATCTTATTCTCAGATTGCAAAGGGTGCAACTTGAGGGTGACCTAAGCCTTCATTTGGTTCACGTTTCAGGGAAGAGGATGATTGCGCAGGGGACGGATGGGGGTTCAAGAGGGGACTTGAAACAGGGTGTCACGACCGGAGAGAACCGTTTGTTAGTCCAAGCCCACAATTCCATGTTTTCAGATCATAAGACAAGCGGCAGACTTGTCGTCGTCCAAACCGATTGACAACTTTGTGGCCCATCAAGCCATCATTGCCAACCAGCCGTGCCAA